CCTTCAAAATAAACATCACAAAGCGGTCTGTGGGCACTGCTCAGTGTTAAAGAAGCAGGCTAGCATGGAACAAATTCCTAAATTCAAATTACCGAGAGACATAGAAAGACAGAAAGTCACAGGCACACACCTCACTTTCAAAGCATGCCTGATTCAAACCTCGGCTTCAGTTCTCCATCAGACCAGACTGAAGACTGGCATTTTGCTTAATAATCTGAGGAAGCCTGCAACGCCAGCACTTACAAAGTGAAGGTAGAAGGATTAAGACGTCCAAGGTAATGTTCAACTATGTAAGGAGTTCATGGCTAACCTGAGGCACATATGACTCTGAAAACAGAGCCAGATGTGTAATGCAGTTTCAATCCCAGCACTATGGAGGCAGAAGCAGGTGAATCTCTTGAGCGAAGGCCAGCCTGGTCAACAAAGTGAATTCTAAGACAGCCAGAGCTGTTACAAAGAAACCCTGCCTCAAACAAACAAACAAATAAATAAAATTACATTCACCGGTGTGTACAGACAGACACTTTTAACCTCAGCACTCAGGAAGCAGACAGGTGGATCTCTTTGCGTTTAAGGCCAGCCTGGTCTACAGAGTGAGTTCCAGAACAGCCAGGGCTATGTGGGGGGAGGATGGGGGAGGCGGACACGGACACGGACCACCAACCAAGAAAATATGGAGAAGGGAAAGCAAAACTGTTTATCAGAGTATCTCATGTGGCTCAGGGTGACTTCAATTTCTAATCCTAAATGCACCCCCCAGTGCCAGGATTACAGTCACACACTCTGACACCTTTAATACTTTTTATGGATAGGTTTTTCTTTCCATCCTCCACATTACCCAAGAGTATCTTTTTGTCACAAAGGAGCTAAGGCCTAGAGAGAGGAAGAATGCAACAAGGTAACAAGAATACAAGTTTGGAATCCAATTCTAAACCCAGGAGACCAATACTTTACTTCTCTACACCCCTGCCCTTTCCAGTCCAATGGGTGGCCTCCATATTCACAGGCTCAACATTCCCAAGTTCAATGGGGAAGGTGGCACATAAATCCCACACATGTAAACCCAGCACTTAGGCCAGCTAGTCTACACAGGAACTTCCAAGCCAGTCAAGGCTACATAGTGAGACCTTCCTTTCTTATCCCCCCCCCCCAAAAAAAGAAAAGAAAAGCTTCAATAGACAATAAAAATACTGCATGAACGCACATACTGCTCACTGGGTAATTAGTGCCAATAGCTCCTCATACATCATATATACTTACTAGGTATTGTAAACAATCTGGAGACGAAGGGTCCACCTTACATGCAAATGTGACACTACCACAAATGGGACTTAAGCGCCTACAAACTTTTGCTATTTTCTGGAGTCTTGAGCTGATCCCTTTAGAAACCAAGAGGCTACTACTGCACCACTAGCGTTTTCTATCTGTGGTTGACAATTTGATGGTGGACTGTCTAAGTATTTTACAGTATTATAGTCAACATAATCAAATATTTGAGTATAGTAAACCATTCCAAAACACACAGGTATCAAGAGCCAACATTTTATGAGATTTTGTGTTTTATGCACTAGCAATAGGTCACAAACATTTCCTACTGTAGAATATAATAAAACCACCCAGAAATAGTCTTCTATTTGTTATACCCCAACAAGTAAGTTTATCTGATATGTTTTGAGCTACCTTAAACTCTGACTTCCTCCTCTTCAAGAATCCCATCATTAGCTGGTCTTTAATCCCAACATTCAGGAGACAGAGGCAAGCAGATCTCTTTGGGTTCGAAGCCAGTCTGGTCTACAGAGGGAGTCCCAGAACAATCAGAGTTGTTACACAGAGAAACCCTATCTGGAAAAACAAACTAACAAACAAAAAAACAAAACAAAACAAGAACCCTTCCATTCATAAAATGTTCTGTGGCATCTCAACCATTGTCCTAAAGCAGGACAAATTAAAACCTTATCAAAGTGGATCTACCAATCAGCATATGAAAAAAAAAATCAGTCATTTTATTTATTAGTTGTTTATTTAAAAGCAAAGCCTCTCAGAAACTGTCTTTACATGAACTTTTAAAAAAATCTATTTTATAGCCAGGCATAGTGGTGCACACCTTGAAACTCGGTAACTCAGAAGGCAGCAGCAGGCAGATCTCTGAGTTCAAGGCAAAACAGGTCTAAATAGTGAGTTCCAGGACAGCCAGAGGTACACAGTGAGACCCTGTCTCAAAATAATAGTAATAATTACATTCATTGGAGAAAGTGCACAGTGCTATGGCTCCCATGTGTGGAGGTCAGAGGACAACTTGTTCTCTGCTTACACCATGTGAACCCCAGTAATCACAGAGTAGTCAGACTTAGTAACAGTGTCTCAACCAGCTATGCCATCTCAGTGGCCTCTTTAGATGACCTTTAAACGTAGGCAAGCAAAGCTGGAGAGGGGGGGTCTACTATACTTCTTGAGAAACTACTTGGCAGGACTAGACCAGTGTATTCTTGCCCTTGCCAGGTGGCAAGCGCCCCCTCAAAGTTCAACTTAAACACTGAAAAGCACCAAGCCACATCTAAATATGGATGAGGTCTTTGAAGCACAACTTTTCTAAAGCATATAAACCACTGGATATGATAACAGTGCAGGCCTACAAGTCCATCATCAGGGAAGCTGTGACAAGAGAATTTTGAGTTGGAGGTCAGCTTGGCTACATAAGGAAATTATAAGGAGCCAGTCTCAAAAATAAAAAGCTTAAGAATCAAGAGTCTCACGGGGCAGTGGTGGCCCGCGCCTTTAATTTCAGCACTCAGGAGGCAGAGGCAGGAGGATCTCTCTGAGTTCAAGACCAGCCTGATTTACAAGAGCTAGTTCCAGGATAGGTTCCAAAGCTACAGAAAAACCCTGTCTCAAAAAACACACAAAAAAGAAAATCAGGAGTCTCAGCTGGATGGTGGTGGCACTCAACTATAACAGCAGCACTCGGGAGACAAAGGCAGGCAGATCTCTGAGCGTTCACGGTTAATCTGGTCTACAGAGTGAGTTGACAGCCGGGTCTACAGAGAAACCCCGTCTCAAAAAATGAAAACAAAAAGCAAAAGCACACACGCACACACACACGCACGCACACACACACGCACACACACCCCACATTGGCCATTTTTGAGCATTAACTTCACAGAACTTAAGACTTATAAAAGTGCGTAACACATAAATTCTTGAATGAACCAATAAACGCAGGCTCTCTTTTTTAACATTTATACAGCAACTAAAGTGAAGCTGGATTTAAAATTCTAAAGGAAGTTGCACGGAATGAAGTTAACTGCAAGCAAAAGCCAGAAGAAAGAAGTCTTCTCTCACTACTTGGAAAAAGACTTTATATAAAGATGGAAATTAACGTTCCTGCACTATCAGAATTAATGTCCCACTTAAGTCACCAGCGGCAAATGCCATTTCATCCTAGAAAGTCTTTGTAAACCCATCGTTTGCATAACAATTCTTTCCCCAATGCTATAAAAATCAACCCTAACTTTGGGGCCTTAAGACTGTTAACCGATAGAACTCTATGCAAATGCTAAATAAGGTGACCGACTCTAGTACACTTTGGGTTTGACAGGTCGCTGGACCCTCCGGGCTGACTCTTTAGAAGCCTTCTCCCCCGCCCCTTTAATTCTCAGTCTAGAGAAAATAAACATTTTACTCAAAATATCCTGCAAACAATCGACGTTTAAAGGTCAAAGGGGACCCATTTTTAACCTTCCCTCAACACGTGTTCAGCACAAACTTCCGGGTGTAGCTACAATTGGCTAAGCAATTCAATGGATTAAAACGATGCTCTCGTGGGCTCTCATTTCATCTCCAAGCTTCTCCCCTCGCGCACGCTTCTCAACCAGCGACTCCCCCAAACAAAAGCATCCCACAGCAAACGGAGCAATTACATGAAAGGAGCTTTCTTCATAGGAGCATCAAGTTAGTGGTCCGCAAACATTAACCAAACTGAAGCACAAAGCCGGGATATAAAGGGGAGGAGCTGGATGCCGGGGTCAGGAAAGCAACAAACACATGGGTTCGGACAAATCCAAGGCTACGAAGCAGTGGAGCCCATCCCATGCCACTCCCGGGAAAACACCAGCAGACACCGCTTTGAGGAACTTGGGTGCTCACTACATCCACCACTACTAAGGTGAGCAGATGTCCAACCGCCATCGCCCTTCTCACGGATTGAGCTCAGAGTCTGAAGCTGCACTCACTTCAGGGAAAGATAAAGTCGTCACGGCGAGGCGTGAAGGTGTCCCCCACGTGTCCCACGCACCCCACCCGCCAGCGACCCAGGTTCATGAAGGGCATCCCCGTGTGGCCCACCCGTTCCCGGAATAGGGGTAATGGGCCGGAGGGACTCGAGCAGAGTCTCCGCCTCACTTTCACCGCCCGTCTCGGGTCTGTGAGAGGGGAGAAAGCGAGGGACGCGATCGCCCGTGGAGCCACCGTGCGCAGGGCCGAGCTGCCCGGCCTCGGAGCTGCTATCCGGCTCGGGACAGCGGGACTCCCACAGAGACGGCGCTGCCTGGCGGAGGAAGCCGGAACCAACGGGGCGACCAGCGGTATGAGAGCGGGCAGCGGGCGAGCGAGGCCCGGGTAGCCGTGAATTGGCCGCCTCCCCCCCACAACCGGCCCCACACGGACCCCGAGGAGCGCTGGTGGGAGTGGGAGGCTGTCCGGACGGACGAGCGTGGAAGGAGAAAAGGACTGAGGGAAGGACTTACTTTACCCGCCGGACCCGACGCCAGAATAGCTTCTCCCGGTCCGTGAGCGCGTGAGGAGCCGGAGGCAACAGGAGCGGAGGCGGCGGCGGCGGCGGCAGAAGCGGCGTCCGGCTCTGCCTACCTCCCCGCCGCCATCTTGACGCCCCTCCTCCCGACCCCCCGCCCCGCAGGAAGAGGGGGCGGAGCGACGGATCAGGTGCCGCGCGCACGCAGCGCGCGCCACGCCCCACGTGACTCCCTCCCCCATCCCTTTTCCGCCCCGCCTCCTTCCTAGGTGAAGGAAGCTGATTCGCCCCCCCCCATCTTGACCGCCCCCTCTGCCTTCGCCAACAAAACCGGACTCCGCCAGGTCCCGCTACCCTGGTACCAGAGATGGGATCCAAGAGAATTCCGGAACCCAAACGGTCCATTACCGCGGCTCCGGGGTGGGCGAAGGGAGAGGGGGCCGGGTTTCCGAGAAGGGGGAGGGGGCAAGGCGAAGGCGGCCTAGGACAGTCACGTGTCCGCTGCTTCCGCCGCCGATAGCTGAGACCTCGCGAGAATACCGTTTCCCCACCCGTTCTGTTCCGTGGGCTGTCGGGAAGAAGGTCGTCTTCTCCTGGGTGCCACCGGCAGGTCAGCCTGTGCGTGTGCGCGCATGCGCTCCACACCTGCCGTCGTAGTCCGCCTAGTAAGGCCCCAGGGCTATTTTCAGAATCTTGGCATTGGGTAGCTACGATCCGTCCAGTCCTTGTGGAGTTTCTGACACTTGACGAGCTGTTCATTGAGCATGCTAGAAAAAAATTAACGTCGACATTGCTCTGAAGCTCGCTTGATCTTTATTGAACTTGATTGACTCGAAAACCTCAGTGAGCCTCTGGGCTCGTCCATGGTCATCTCATGTAGACCAGAGCTGGACGGTCCCATTCTCTAGACTCTTCTGCATCCACCATTGCTGCATACCTGTTGCTCTAAGCTTGTTCATTTTCATGTTTTCCTTATTCAGACTAACACATTAACTTCTTGGTCACCTTTTGTCAAGTCTTTCTGAGAATGCAACTTGACGCCGTTACTTAGGTGATAGGCATGCCTGGGCGATTCTTACCCCCTTAAGGCTGGCTGAACATCTTTTTCGCCCTGTGATGAAAACAAGCTGCACTCTTGTTTTGACCGTTAAGTGTGTGAACTCAGCCAGGCAGTGGGAAATATACACACCTTTAATCCCAGCACTTGGGAAACAGGGGTAGGCTGATCCCTGAGTTATAGGCTAGCCTGGTCTAAAAAGAAGTTTCAAGACAGGTTACAAAGAGAAAAATGTGTGAGTTCTTTCAGGAAACTATGGGCATGTGTCCTAGGTTTTTTGTTTGTTTGTTTGTTTTGTTTTTTCTGTTGCTATGATAGAACAATCACCAAAACCAAATAGGGTTTGGTTTATAAGGAAGGGCTTATTTCATCTTACATTTTAAAGTCCATCATCCAGGCAAGCCAAGGCAGTTTATGGAAGCAGAAACTGAAGTACAGATTAAAGAGGAGTTCAGCTGCTTACTGGCCTGCTTTTTATAAAGCTGGGCTCTCCTACACCAGTTAAGAAAATGGGGCTGGAGAGATGGCTCAGTGGTTAAGAGCATTGCCTGCTCTTCCAAAGGTCCTGAGTTCAATTCCCAGCAACCACATGGTGGCTCACAACCATCTGTAATGAGGTCTGGTGCCCTCTTCTGGCCTGCAGACATCCATGCAGACAGAATATTGTATATATAATAAATAAATAAATATTTTTTTTAAAAAAAGAAAATGCCCCCACATACACGCATCCCTGCTATGAGGAGATATGCGTTGAACCTTGTTGAATTTTTTCAACGTCAGTAACCAATAGATACCTGCTAAGCATGTGGGAGCTAGGGTCTGGAGGAGAATCAAATGGTGAGTGTTGAACAGAATTTTTCACTACTAAAACAATTCTTAGCCTTTTGCTGTTGTTTGTATATATTTATTAAGCTAACAACTGTTAAGACACCAAATATGCCTTAAATGCATTATTTAGAGTTAGTAATTGAATCTGCACGAGCATAGTATAAGATAGGATCATCATCACTGGTATTTTATAGATAAGAAAATAAAAAAAAGGCAAAAAAAATTATGTCACTTGATTTAAGGGAAGACACAGAGAGCAAATGGGTGCCCAGGATCTTGTTGCTGAACTAGGTCCAAATGCTACTTAGCATCAGGTGAATGTTTACAATTAAGAAATGGTTGTACCAAAATTGTAATTGGTTGAAATAGGTATCCCTCTAAATTAAAAACTTTTTTTCACTACAAAGATGGACATTTGTTTCTTTTTCAGTAAATACTCTTCTTTCTTCCCATATTATGGAATGCATATTTAACTCTGTAAGATTTGTATAGGATCATTTTTAAAGAAACTAATAAAAATGGACCTATAATTTCAAAAGGAAAAGAAAATGCTCCCACAGAGTTCCTTATCCACCACTCTATTGGAGGCAATTCCTCGGTTGAGATTCTTTTTGCCAAGTATGTCTAGATTTAGGTCAAGTTAGCAAAAACTATGACAGTGCAGAAAATACATATAGCAATAATAAGTATTCGACTTTGTATCCATACATTTGTATTATAAATGTGGTTTTTGTATGGTTGTTTGGGTTTTGTATGGTTTTGTTTTTAAAATTTGTTTATTTTAGGGGGCTGGAGAGATGGCTCAGTGGTTAAGAGCACTGGCTGCTCTTCCAAAGGTCCTGAGTTCAATTCCCAGCAACCACATGGTGGCTCACAACCATCTGAAATGAGATCTGATGCCCTCTTCTGGCCTGCAGGCAGACACACAGACAGAATATTGTATACATAATAAATAAATAAATATTTAAAAATAAATAAATAAAAAATAAAAAAAATATTTTATTAGGTATACAGTGTTCTGACGGCATGTCTGCCTGCATGACAGAATAAGGCACCAGCTCGCAATATAGATGGTTTTGAGCCAGCATGTGGTTGCTGGGAGTTGAACTCGTGACCTCTGGAAGAACAGCCAGTACTCTAAACCTCTGAACCATCTCTCCAGCTCCAGTCACTTTTTTTTTTTCCAATACAGGGTTTCTCTGTGTAGCTTTGGAGCCTGTCCTGGAACTCACTCTATAAACCAGGTAGACTCGAACTCACAGAGATCTGCCTGCCTCTGCTAGGATTAAAGGCATGTGCCACCACTGCCCAGAGCTACATGGAAGCTTTCCCTTTAAATATATATTTATATATTTAAATATATATATATATATATATATATTTAAAATAATCCCATTTGCCCATTTCTTTTGTGAACATGTTTTGAACACTTAAAAAATAATTGTCTAAATGAGTGTCCTGAATATTCCATTTTCTTCTAACATTTTCATAGTTTGTGGTCTTACATTTAAGTCTTTGATACTTTATGGGAATTTTTATCTAAAGTAAGAGATAGAGTGTTGTGCCCACTGAGACAAACAAGAGGGTTCCTCAGACATATTTAGAAAAAGCCCTAGGAACATAAAAGACAAAGCCAATGAGATGGTTCAAGCTGGTAAAGATATTTGCTGCCAAGCCTGACAGACCTGAGTTTGATCCTCAGAACCTACAAAGAGAACTATCTCCTGCAAGTTGTCCTCTGAGACAGACAGGGAGGAGATGGAACTAAATTTTCAGTGTTTACCTAGTATTTGAAAAGCCGTGGGTTCAGTCCATAGCACCATAAAAAAACTGGGCCTGGTGTATACAACTGTAGTTCAAGCTCTGGGAAGGTAGAGGCACTCTGGGCAAGTCACATGACAGCACATTTCAAAGCTGTATTGTTTGTTTATATTAATAAAACAGAAGCCAGTGACATAACCAACCTGACGACCTGAGTTCCATCCCTAAAACCCATACAGTAACCAACTTGTTACCAAGTTGTTCTGTGACCCCACACATACACATGCCATGGCAGATAGAGGCCTACATTAACACACAAAATAAAGACTTGAAAAAATAAGATTGGGGGGGGGAGGGAGATAGTTTTTTTCCCCATATAAAGCCCTAACTGTCCCAGAACTCTCTATGTAGACCAGGCTGGCCTGGAACTCACAGAGATCCTTCTACCTCTGCCTCTCTGAGTACTGGGATTAAAGGTGTGTGCGACCATACCCTACCCTTAAGATTTATTTTTATTTTATGTGTATTAGTGTTTTAGTATCCTCAGAGGCCAAAGAGGGTATGGGATCTCTTAGAACAGAGGTATAAATGGTTGTGAACTGCATGTGGGTGCTGTGCTAAGCCATCTCCCAAGACTCTTTCTGTTTTTATTTTTTTTATTTTATTGATATTTATTGAGCTATACATTTTTCTCTGCTCCCATCCCTATTTTCTCTCCTCCCCCTTCAGACCTCCCCCAAGGTCCCCATGCTCCCAATTTACTCAAGAGATCTTGTCTTTTTATACTTTCTACTTCCCATGTAGATTATATCTATGTAAGTCTCTCTTAGTGTCCTCATTGTTGTCCAAGTATTGTGGTTTGTAGGCTGGCTTTCTTTGCTTAATGTTTAAAAACCACCTATGAATAGATGTGATCATTGTCTTTCTGTGTCTGGGTTACCTCACTCAAAATAATGTTTTCTAGCTCCATTCATTTTCTTGCAAAATTCAAGCTGTCATTATTTTTTTCTGCTGTGTAGTACTCCATTGTGTAAATGTACCACATTTTTCTTATCCATTCTTCGATAGAGGGGCATTTAGATTGTTTCTAGGTTCTGACTAAGACAAACAAAGCTGTTATGAACATAGTTGAGCACATGTCCTTGTGGCACGATTGAGCATCCTTCAGATCTATACCCAAAAGTGGTATTACTGGGTCTTGAGAAAGGTTGTTTTCTGATTTTCTGAGAAATCACCACACTGACATCCACAGAGGTTGTACCAGCTTGCATTCCCACCAGCAATGAAGAAGTGTTCCCTTTTCCCCACAACCTATCCAGCATAAGTTGTCATCAGTGTTTTTGATCTTGGCCATTCTTACAGGTGTAAGATGGAATCTCAGAGTTGTTTTGATTTGCATTTCTCTGATGACTAAGGATGTTGAACATTTCCTTAAGTGTCTTTCAGCCATTTTAGATTCCTCTGTTGAGAGTTCTCTGTTTAGGTCTGTACTCCATTATTTTATTGGCTTATGTGATCTTTTGGTGTCCAATTTCTTGAGTTCTTTTGCATATTTTGGACATCAGACCTCTGCCTGATGTGGGATTAGTGAAGATCTTTTCCCATTCTGTAGGCTGTCGTTTTGTCTTGTTGACCATGTCCTTTGCTTTACAGAAGCTTCTCAGTTTCAGGAGATCCCATTTATTAATTGTTTCTCTCAGTGTCTGTGCTGCTGGGGTTATATTTAGGGAGTGGTTCCCTGTGCCAATGCGTTCAAGTGTACTTCCCACTTTCTCTTCTATGAGGTTCATTGTGGCTGGCTTTATGTTGAGGTCTTTGATCCATTTGGACTTGATTTTTGTGCATGGTGATAGATATGGAACTATTTTCATTTTTCTACATGTTGATATCCAGTTATGCCAGCACCACTTGTTAAATATGCTTTCTTTTTTCCATTTGATATTTTTTGCTTCTTTATCAAAGATCAGGTATTCGAAGATGTGTGGATTGATATCTGGGTCTTCTATTCGGTTGCATTGATCCTCCTGTCTGTTCTTATGCCAATACCAGGCTGTTTTCAGTACTGTAGCTTTATTTTATTTTTTATTAATATTTTATTTTTGTTTTTTGAGACTCAGTTTGTATACCCTTGACTGTCCTTGAACTTAATCTGTAGACCAGGCTGGTCTTGAACTCTCAGAGTACCTATCTCTGCCTCCCGAGTGATGGGATTAAAAGTGTGTGCCACAACCCAACAATTTTTCTTTTAATAAAAAAAATTTGTAAAAGAACAAAATATTACAGTTTTTTTCATTGATATTCACTAGGTGGCTTAAACTGTAGTGCACAGCACAGCAAACCGGAGAGAGAAGTCTATCATACTTTGCAAGCAGAGAGCTGTCTGAATGGAGCAGTGAGTAGTGGTGCATGCCTGTCACTCCAGCACTGAGGATCCAGAATTGAAGGTCAGCCTGCATTATGGAGTGGGATCCTGTGTCAGAAAACAAAGAGGAAAAGGAAGAAAAGAAACATGGATGCAGACCTGCAGGGAAGACATCTAAAGGACTCTGGCTAATCCCTTGGTGCTGTTGAAGTGCTCTCCTCCATCACCTTCATTAGAGCAGCTGTGGCTACTCACAGCAGACAGAATCCAACCTGTTGGTTCCCAACATTCTCTCAAAGGAAGATATGGGGAGGGTCACTGGACCCTGGCCTGAAATTCCACTTGTTCCCTATTGTGCCTCCCAGCCAGCTGTGTGCAGTTCTGCCCTAATTGTATGTGGCTTGGTGGTCTCCAGAGGTGCTAGAATGCATGCAGAGAAGATGGAAGGCTGACTGAAGGGGGCACTCTGCAGCTAAGGGGAAGCTGGTGCTGGGGAGAGACTTTGCTGTAGCTACTTCTCCATCACCGGTGCCTGTAGATAAGCCCAATAAACTCACTGGTTCCCTGAGGGACATGAATGGCACCATACATTGGTCTGTTATTAGTGTACTCTGAGGGGACATTTGTTCAAATCTGTCCACAATAAAGTTCACACAAGGGTCTTCAGAATTAGGTAGCATTCACTTTTCAAGAGGCTCCCAACTCTTGTTGCACTCTGGGACCAGATGAGTATAGTATTGACAGCGAGATCTGACCTGGGTGTTCTCACTCTTCCCATACTTTCTAAGCATCAGCCCGGGTGCCTGCTGCTTTCTCTCATAATCTTTCCCTTGAATTCATCTGAAAGATGACATCTCAGGAGCTGCTTGTAACTGTGCACGTGCACACAAGCTTTAAGGACAAGGTTACCCACTGCAGCAAGATTGGTAGAAGGAAAAGAGTGGAAACCTAAAGGTCATTGAAAAATGACTGTTTTTCTCAAGTGTGGTCGCAATTATACAAAGAATGATACCTCTGCATTTGTGTTCATGCATTTATGTGGATGTGTTAGTATGTGTGTGATTTCTTTGCATGTACATGGAAAGACAGTGTAATAATTAATATTGAGGCACAGCAACTGAGATACTGGGAGATTCTTTGCAGGGGGAATACTTCTTTAGGGCACACCCAATACAGAGATGCCTCTGGAAGCAGATGATTGAGAATCCTATTTGGACACAGTGCTGACTATTTACCAAGCCCTTCTCACTCCATTCTGTCTGCAAGCATGCTGACATGTTAGTAGGGAGGCATTCAAGGGCTAAAAACCAAGGGATTCCACTGTTGCTGAGATCAATGCCTATACAGTCTAATGAGCATTCATCTAGCAGAAAAAGTAAAAGCGTAGTTATAATAGGGCAGCAAACAGCTGATACAACTGTTTGGAGTCTCTCAGTGGGTATGAGTTTTCCTCAATACAGTGTTTCACTGTGTAACTCAGCTCAGCCTTGACTTCCACATGTTCCTGACTTAGCCTCTCAGCACTGAGATTACAGATGTCTGTGTCACCATGCCTGGCAACGGAGCTTTCCTCTCCCTCCTCCTCCTTTTGTTTGTTTGTTTGTTTTCAAAGCAGGGTTTCTCTGTGTAACCACCCTTTCTGTCCTGGAACTTGCTATGTAGACCAGGCTAGTCTCAGACTCAGAGATCTGCCTACCTACCTCCCGAGTGCTGAGATTAACGGCATTCACTACCACACCAGGTCTCCTCTTTTTAAGATGTATTTATTATTGTTTTATGTGTGTTTTGCCTGCATCTATGGATGTATACCACTTGTATGCCTGATGCCCACAGAGGACAGAAACGGGTATCAAATCCTCTGGAGGTGGATTGACAGTCAGTTATAAACTGCCCACTGTGGGTGCTAGGAACCTAACCCTGGTCCTCTGTGAGAGCAGCGGGCACTCTTAACCACCAAGCCATCTGTCTATCCACTAGGTCCCATTCCTTAGGATAGCTGTACTGTGATGGGGACTTTCCCTACCCTCAGGTGACCTTTGTGTTCATAGTCACTCTAGGCATTTGCTATGGCAGATATAATGCTAGCATCAGTGATATATTTTGGTTTGTTAATTGTGTATGTGTTTATATGAGTGTATGCCACATGTGTGTGGGTATCAAGAGAAGTCACAAGTATCAGATATCCTAGAGATCAAGTTACAAGCAGTTGTGAGGCATCTGACATGGTTCCTGGGCATCGGACAGTACTCCTCTGCAAGAGTCATACAGAATCTTGACCACTGAGTCATTCCTCCAGTTCTTTTAAAGCGTTGACAAATGGGACATGTGTAAGTGGTCCCTCTATAATCACAGGCTGGCCCCAGTACCTGGCTCCAGGATACCAACATTTGAGGATATTAAACTCCCATGTTTATTTTTAAGTGATAGCAACTTAACATGATCGTAAGGGTAAGAACAGAATAAAAGAACTAAAGATACCTGGGTGTGGCATCCCAGAACTCAGGAAAGCAGAACAGTCTCTGTGACTCTGAGGCCAGCCTGGGCTATGTAGTAAGATGCAAGCCATCCAGGACTTCAGAATGACACCCTGTCTCAAATAGGAGAGGGATGGACTGGGAAGAGGTGTGCAGTGGGAAAGTACTTGCAAATGAGGACTTGCATTTCATTCCTAGACCACCCCTCCCCTTTTTGGAGCTGGGCATTATGGTGCATGCTTATAAATCCCAAAATGGGGGAGATGGGGACAAGCAGGTCGCTCGGACTCACTAGCCAGTGAGCATAGCATGCTTGATCAGCTCCGTGCCAGTGGGAGACCCTGGCAATGGTACCTGAGGAACAACATCCAAGGAGCTCCTCTGACTTTTACCTGCACCTGCAAACACATGTGCACCTGTGCACAAAGGAAAAGACCCGAGATACACTTAATCCTCATATTTAAAATTTTCATGTTCCATTTTACATATTGTTTTGTTTTTCAAGACAGGGTTTATCTGTGTAGCTCTAGCTGTCCTGGAACTCACTCTGTAGACCAGACTGACCTCAACTCATAGAAATCTGCCTGCCTCTGCCTCCCGAGTGCTGGGATTAAAGACGTGTACCGCCAGTGCCTGGACATTTTACATCTTTCTATATAATTTAACATATTATATAGTTTTTTGTTAGTTTGAGGAAAGTGCCAGTTCCAGGTATGCCAGGCTGGCATTGAATTCTCAATCTTACCTCAGTTTCCCATTTATCAAAATTATAGAAATTTGCCACATTATTATTTTTTAATCTTAACTAATACTTTTAGATTTTTAAAAAAAACATGTATGGTTATTTTTGCCTACTTATGTCTGTGTACCACATACATGAAGTACCCATGGAAGCCCAAAAAGGGTATTAGGTACCCTGGAACTGGAGTTACAGACTATTGTGAGCTATCATGTGGGTGCTAGGAATTTAATTTTAGTCCTTTAGAAGGCAACAAATGATCATCGCTGCTGGCTGAACCATCTCTCAAACCCTCTAAAGCTATTTTTAAATTAAGCTGGGTATGATGTACAAGTCTTTAATCCCAGTATTTGACAAGCAGAGGCAGGCAGATTTCTGTGAGTTCAGAACCAGCCCGATCTACAAAGCCTACAAAGCAAGGTCCAGGCCAACCAACCAGGACTATAGTGTGAGACACTGTCCCCCCCCCAAAAAAAAAAACAGAGCAGAGTAGTGGTACATACCTTTATTCCCAGCACTTGGGAAGCAGAGACAAGCAAATCTCTTGAGTTCTAGGCCATCCTGGTCTACAGATCTAATACCAAGACAGCCAGGAACATGCAGAGAAACTCTGTCTTGAAAAGGAATTTTAATTATTATTCTGTCTCTCTCTCTCTCTCTCTCTCTCTCTCTCTCTCTCTCTCTCTGTGTGTGTGTGTGTGTGTGTGTGTGTGTGTGTGTGTGTGTGTGTAAAATGGCCTCAAATTCTCTTCTTTGTTTATTTGGTTTTTCCAGACACAGTTTCTCTGTATAACCTCGGCTGTCCTAGAACTCGCTCTGAAGACAAGGCTGGCCTGGAACTCATAAAGATTCACCTGCCTCTGCCTCCTGAGTGCTGGGATTAAAGGTGTGCACCACAAATTGCAATTCTCTCTCTTCAATTAAAAAATTATTGTACATGTATGGGTGTTCTGCCTACTTCTCTGTGAACCACTTGTATGCCCGATGCCCTCAGAGGCCAGAAGAGGGCGTGAGAACTCCTTGAACTGGTGGTTGTGAGCTGCCGGGTGGATCTCTGGACAGTCTTGCTTGAGTCTCTGGAGTGCAGGACGTAGAGAGGTATGAGCCTCCACACCCAACTCAGACGGTTGAGAATGGGAAGTTGTTTCAGCAGGTAATGCAGGACTAGGAAAGTGAAAAGGGAGCATGGAGGACACCAGAGTGACACACACGGAAAGCAGGCTCCACCTAGCAGGCTGGAGGAGAGCATTCAGGTGCAAAGAGCAGACTTGCAGTGGGGAGGAGTCCCAGGAGTGCTGCCACTTGACTACCTAAGGCAGCTGTTCTGTAGGTGGAGACCCCTGTGGGATCGCATATTAGATATCCTGCATATCAGGTATCTACATTACGATTCATAAGAGTAGCAAAATTAAGGTTGTGAGGTAGCAACAGAAATAATTTTGTGGTTTGGGGATCAGCACATGAACAACTGTATTAAAGGATTGTAGCATTAGGAGAGTTAAGAAAGGGCACTTAAGAAGAAAGGTTAAGAAAGGTTGTTGGAGGCACTTCTGTCACAAGCAGTAGGACCTTCACAAGAAGAGATACACTTCTATGCCACCTCTCTCCAATTCTTTTCAGAGACTTCCTTAGCTTGGAATCATTTTTTAAATTTTATTACATTAAAAAATTTTTTTGGTGATTTTTCAAGACAGTTTCTTTGTAGCTTTGGAAAATGTCCTGGAACTAGATCTTGTAGCCAGGCTGGCCTCAAACTCACAGAGATCTGCCTGCCTCTGCCTCCCGAGTGCTGGGATTAAAGGCATGCGCCACCACCGACCGGTTTACATTTAAAATTTTTATTTTGCATCTGTGTGTACCTGTGAATGTGTGGAAGCCAGAGGACTACCTGCAGGAGTTAGTTCTCTCCTTCCACCATGAATCTCATGGGATCAAACTTGGGTCATCAGCTTGGTGCTGGTGCCTGTACCCACTGAGCCCACTCACCACCCCTAAGCTAGGGTTTTACTTGGTTGCAGAAGAAAATTCCAGGATGAGCCAGCATGGATATAATCCTGGCTGGTCTGGAACTCACTCTGTTGACCAGACTGGCCTGGAATTCATAAAGATCCGCCTGCCTCTGCCCAGCAAGTACTGGGATCAAAGGTGTACACCACCGCACCCAACTAGAGTCAGTGTTTATGAGAAAGAAAGTTTAAGCATGGGGGTGAACAGGCCTTCAAAGAAAGACCCGAACACATCCAAGTATGTTTGCAGCTTCTAATGACAGAATCATACTTATATGTCTTCAACAGTAGCTGCATGTTGGGTTTTGGAGGCCTTTGGAATTAATTACATTGCTCAAAGGGTTCTAGGAGCCCC